TGGAACGATATTTTCTTTGATGTGATTCTATGTTATATTTTAGGCTATTTCATCCTACATCCTGCTCCTCTGCTACTGGACTTGAGACCTTTCATTGATGTTGTAATTCACATTTTTGTCTGCTTTTTTTTTTATGTATTCTTTTTAACAGACACCCTTAATCCCAAATGGCGCTTTCTGGTGAAACAATGATTTAAAATCACAAAATAAATATCGCACTTCTGTATACGTTCCATCCCTGGCCCTTTAATTAACCCCCTACCCTTAATGCAAACATGCATCCCTAGACAGTCTCTCCTTTTCCTAACCTTTGCCCTCATCTTTCCTCCCAGCACATCACTAAACGGATCCCTTAGAATCTCGTTGTATACGTGATGCTAATACCTTCTGACACATTTGTTCACCGTCTCTTTATCATTAATAATTATGCAAAGAAGGTGCGTTCTCAGCCGAGCAAAATAATCCAATCTTAATATGCAAATGGTAAAGGTCCCTGTGGAGTGTGGCGATTAGATGTGTGTTGATAAACTCACTTATGATGAGTGACAGTGAGCAGGATTGAAGTTGCGCTGGTCAGCAACCACCGCAGACACTGATGAAAACACCCCTGCCAAATGCCAGGGTATCCCCAGATGCATGATGGGACAGGGATGAAACAGTGTAAAATGTCATTGTGGCTGCTGTGAGCCCATTAATAACCAGAGAGGAGGAAGCAAAGGGGGGTAATGAGAGGAGATTTGCTTCCTGATTGAAGGCTTTGCCTTTTTTGTTCAGCCAGATGTTTGCTCTAGCTGCAACTTGTCCACTTCAGCGGCTAACATCCTAAAACCTTTTACCAAACAATTCAACTGTCATGACTGGACGATAAATCCCGTTAAGGATCCAACATCCAATTTTCCATTTGACCCGGTAGTTCTACACCTGGATTGGGCTTCACCAGCTTTATAAATCTTTCCTAAAGTTTGTGTGGTCTTAGTAATATGCACATTTTTATGAATACTAGCTAGTTTCAAACTAGTGATTACCTAGTTTAAGTTGCACCAGAGAAATATCTTGTAAAAACTAGCTGGAAACATCTGGAGCACTGTCGAATGAATCAACTAAGTGTTTGGGAAGTCACAGTAGCATTACAAGCTGTAGTGTAACTTCCATCAGTAACAACTAACACCAATCTTTGTAAATGTAGGTTTGATTTGCTGTATTCATATATGGAAACATGGAGAGATAGCTATGAGTGAGAGAGATTAAGCTAATAAAAGTTAACCGACCATATTAGTCTAATGGTATTAGCATTGTGTTATGTAATTTGAAATAAAGTGAAATGTAATTTAAATGTGCTTTTTACGAGATTAGGAGCATTCCTATTGCCTTGCAACGGCTCTCAACATGGCGGCGGCTGAGTGGGCGGCTGGAAGCTAACAGTGCTAACAAAGCTAACAGTGTAAACAATGGCAAATTTAAACCGTTCTTTTTTGTGAGAACCGGAGGATGGGTGCTACGATCCGTAAAAAAGCATTTTAAACAAGTGTCAGGTTTGATATTCCATATTTGTACCTCTAAACGGGATATACTAGCAAGCTAAGTTAGCGCTCTCAGTTTAGCTAGCTCAGTTAGCTAACAGAACTGTTTCTAGCTGTAATATTTAGTAACAACTAATCTCTACATAAGAAGTTATGTCGTGCAACCCATTTTAATTTAGTAAACTCTTTTTAGTAACCACTTATAACTAAGCAAAGTTTTAAATTGACAGACATTTGGTGCAACCAGCTTCTGAGGATGAATTATTACACGAAAGAATAAGACCTGGAATCTCTCTTTTCTTAAAATTGCTTCAGCGTAGTTGTAATCCTTGTTTGGTCCGTTATGAAAGGTGAAACAAGTGTTACTTGGGGAAGCAAAATTGGATGCTTGAAACAGCTGACAAAAACTGTTTTGGTTGTTTGTTCAAAGATAAGAAGATTTATCCCAAAACTACACATTGTTAGTGATGTGGTTTTATCGTAGCTATGCTTACTTACTACGCTTACTTTTGACACCATGGTGGGAGTCCACATTTTAAACCACAAATCATTCAATGCACGAGTGTACGTAACTATTCAGGCAAGATCAATTTTCTCAGGATCAGTGTTTTGACAAACAGAGACAGAAGGAGAGAGACACTAGCCTTGAGTGCCAAGTTTAAAAGCTTGTTTGCTTCTTAAGAAGATCAAAGGTATCAAGGCCTTGGACAGACATGAGAGGCATAGACTCTGCAATCTGCTCTCCATTCACTCCCAACAACACCAGCAAAGAAAAACAAGGCTTTTCTCTTTGGGAAATCCTGGATAGCATCCCAGACAGTTTTTCCAACAAGCAAACACTCTGGGATCTCCCAACCCCTCCGCGGGGAGATGACATGTTTGTCAGCATGTTGTGTGTGTGATCATTCAAACGTTGAATGATCCGCAGGTGTTTTTCTTTTTCTTTTTGGAATGCATAAAGCTCAAAGCAAAACAAAAAACGATTTGAAAAGTTCAGTAGCTGCATTTTTTTTTTAATGTACTCAGCAATTATTTTTCAAGCAACCAAGTAGATCTGATTAAAACAACAGTCAAGTTGTCCCCAATAATTCAACGGGACGTGGTTTAATAAGAAAAATCAATTGTTTTTATTGACTTATCCACATGGGGATATTTCAACTATGAGGCTAATTAGACCAAATATTAAAAACAGCATTCCGCTGTAAGTTCAGGCTTTTGCTGGAACCAACTGAAGTAAATCTAATGCAGTGGCACCTTTTCTCCCAATGTGCCCCCACATAAATATATAAAACTATTGATTGTAGACTTTTTAACCACTTTCTGCAGGTGGAAAGGCGAGCAATGAATTGAGCATTAGGATAAACGTCCTGATGTTGTTTGTTCTTTAATTTGCGGAAACTGATTAAATGAAGATCAAGATGGTCTAGAGCTCGACGTCTGACTGAATTAGTCTGTACAGAGGACTTTGTTCTGTTAAACATTATAAACATAAACACAATTTTTTAATACTTTTTGTAAAAACAAATGTCCTACTAACCACAAATGTTTCTCATCTCTAAACATGTGAATGTTTTTTAATTAGCCGAGCTGCTTCTTGGCCTCGGGTACAAGCACCCCAAGGTTGGGAATCACTGCTCTGATGAAAGAAAGAGTTATCCGACGAATTTCCTTATAAGACTGCATGAATTTTCAAGTGTGTCAGAAGGACTGAGAGCCAACAGTCATTACAATAAACCACAGAGACATCATCAAAGAGTGGGCAGGAGCTGGAAGACCCGCTGAGGTCCATGGCTGAAAAGGCCCACTTGACGTTCTTGGCGGCTTGGAGGCCCTACTGAGAGACCTGGACTTTGTGTTTTAATCTGCTTGTTTCAGGACTGAATGATTCATCGGCTTTGAGATGGCTTTACTTCCAAATTCTCCCTCATAAGATGTGTTTCCTCATTTCACGCCTGTGACTTTTTACTTTTGTGTTGCACCAACGTTTTCCCTTGATTTTACAGCTTTTCTATATCCGGTGGTAGAAATTTTGTCTCCATGATGCCAGGCAGGTTTGTGAGTATTTTCTGGTGGCATCAAGGTTACAGAGGCATTTGCCTACTTTACAGTCATTTATATCCCGGTGATATGCCTGCAGTCCTTAACAACATGAGCGAGATATGCTGATTTTGACGGATCTCACTCCAAAGACTTATCCAAGCTTAAGCTGTAATTTAGAAATCCCTAAATTAAAAATCACTTTGAGTTAAACCAAGCAACCAAAGAGGCAATACACAGTATCTAATTTTGTGACTTTTTCAGAACGCATTAATCCTCCCAAATGGGAGCTGACAGGATATCACATGGTATTGTAGCACACCAGATACCTCAGGAAGCAATTACCATGAATACATTTTCTAATAAACTTGTACCCATCAGATGATAAGCAATTAAACATGCGTAATTATGGTTTCCATACAGTAATTTCTAAGCTGATTAGGTTTGTGTGCTTTACAACCTGAATGGGTGAATATTAATAGTGCTTTGGTTTGGTGTTGCTGGTTAGCGGTGGCAGCTCATCAGCAGATCATATGCAAATGAGGCCTCAGGAAGTGCATGAAGCCTCATTCCTAGCTATTAGAACTGTCAGGGGAGGGAGGGACATGTCAACGGGCGCACGCACGCGCACGCACGCACGCACGCACGCACATTGTTGAAAGGTAGGACATAATATATTCTTCATATATACTACACATATGTGTTTGCAGTTCTATATTCTCTGGTGTCAAATTCATCCAATTTTACAGTTTATTTAATCTTCAGTTACCGATACTCGATTAACTTCAATAATCATGTTATACATTCTAATAAGGCACCTTTTATAAACGGTTTATAAGTTGTGAGTCATGGCTTTATTAATGGCTAATAAATCATTTAATAGTGTTTTATAGATCAGTTATAAACCATTAATAAGAACATTTACATCATATCCTGCGCCTTCTTCTTATTAAGCATCACATTTGATCTTTGGATCATCACTTGATGGATTATTGAAAGGAAAATTTATAATTGTATTTATGTAACTGTAATTATACGGCACTATGAGCCGATTATAATGCATTATAAGTATGCTTATAATTCCCAATAGATATAGAAAGTGGTATCAAAGTTAAATCCTTCTGTAAATATCGATGAAATTGGACTTCTCTCCTCTGTACTACTGCGATAGGACCTCAGTGGATGAAATACACGACTGGTTTCATTTCAAATCCCAGCCACTTTCTCCTCCGACAGTGCTCCTGAACCAAACATTTCATCTGTACAAACCTGCGAATCTCTCCCAGATACAAACCCTCAGGGAGCGTGATACATCTTCTCTTTTTGACTTTACTAAGTCTACCATTCCATCAAATGTCATTCACTGTGAGAGCAGCCGTCTCCCTCCTGTGTATGTGTGTGTGTGAGTGTATCAGCAATAATATGAAATACCAACACAGCAAATCAGTATAATCTGTTCTGATTTATTATCAATCTGAATGTTACTTTTCACACAAAATATATAGTTCTCATTGAGGCGCTCGGTATACATTTCAGATAGCACTATATAGGTATTCATAAAGTCATTCATTGACTATACATAGAGGGAATAATCTGTCATGTTGCACAAAATATTACAATAAACCAGTGATGGAGCGACAAAAAAATGAGCAACAATCCCAATACAAGTTCTGCTTACATATATATCCTATTATTACTATCTCCACTGTATAAGAACTATATCAGTTGGTATATCTGTATTACATTTAATATTAACAGAGATGTTCATGTAACAATGTCTAAAATGTATGCAATGAGGAATAAAAAACACCTGATATGTTAAGAATATATCAAGAAACATGATCTGTGAGGCTTTTTAAGATGTCTGGACCCAAAATACAACAATACACACACACACTTCAACATCTGATGCACGTGATGCTGAGTATATATATAGTGGGTTGATTCAGATCACAGAGGAGAAGAAACATGTGAGGAGTTTATTTCCAAAACGCTACATGCGTCCAATACACCGATTCATTTAGGGGATATAATCTTTAAAATATAAGGCAGGAACTTAATTCACTTTACATATTATTATTCAAAAAGTACTACGGTTGAGAACTGCAATGATTAGTCTATTGGCAAAAATAAATAAATATTGGCAACCATTTCGATAATCAATTCATCTTTTACATTCTCTGGTTTCAGCTTCTCTGAAGTTGCTGTTTTTCTTTGTCATGTATGACAGTAAATTGAATATCTTAGACTGTAAGTCAGACAAATTGAAGACATAAATGCCATTTTGTTTCACTAATTCTTACGATTTCTACAATGCATCGAAAGAAATCTGCATATTAATCGATATTTCAAATTATGGTTAGTTGCGGCCCAACTATAGTTCGTTTTAAATGTGCCAATAGTCTCCTTCTTAGCCTCTGTATCAGTTTTCCCAACGGCAGATAGCTTATTTTGGAACAAAAGTCTTCACTTGACATCACGTAAACAGCTCGTCAGTGGCACTAGAGCGGTATGTTCAGGAACAACATCACTGTTATAGAGGACCGGGGTTCATATCGACAAAAAGTCTCACAGTAGGAGAGCTGATCTAAATTCACACATCAGATCAGGCCCCGCTGGTCTGACATGGATCCCAGATCGGCAGTCGTACTCTGAGGCAAGATTTTGCGAATATAGATCCAGGTGAGATATCTGGCACGACATTCATAAGTATACAGTGTATATATATATAGAGGTGAAGAGAAGGCGGAAGAGAGAAACAGAGCGAGGAGAAGGGAGGGCAGAGAGAGATGTCAGTCTTGAGTGGGCAGAGGAAGCCGGTGTTCGGCGAGTGAGAAGAAGGTTGGGGGGGGGGGGGATGTGATGCCTTCACTGAGGAAGCGCTTTCAGGATGGCGTTCACCTCCTCTGCCACGGCTGTCAGCGCAAACTCAAACTGCTCCTGAGGAGGAGGAAGAGGAGGGAAGGATGCAGGGAGAGAAGGAAGGTAGGAAAGTTTTAGTGTGCGGACAAGTGTGTAACAGCTCAGGACTGCCATTTCAGGATGATTGGCGTCTTCCTCCCTCTCTGCTGGCCCTACCCCTGGATGTGTTTGGCCACAGACTTGAGGTGAAGGTGAGCCACTCTCTGAGATTTCAACTCGGAGAGCATGCGTATACCCGGCATCGATCCAGCCAGGTGTCTTAAAATAAAGCTTTTGAGTCATGCTGTCTCTCAGCTTTGTTTGTGTGTATGTGCATTTATTTGTGAATCCCACTCACGGTTTCCCCCCAAGGAGTGTAAAAGGGGGCTGATTGATGTTTGCCCCATGGACCTGGTGTTTTTATATTCCTCTCCTCTCCCCAGGCTGCAGGCCACGGGGTCCTCTCACAGAGAAAAGGAACGTAGGAGTTTGGAAGGAGCAGTCTTTAGATGTGTCAACACATAGCCTGCAACAGTCTGGCCTGAGGATTGACTAAATCAATACAGAGGAGTCACTGGTGGCCGTGCCTTTTGCTTTGCAGTGGAGATTATCTGGAGTGATTAGGTTTTCTATTTTTATGATTCTTCTGATGTTGGCGATAGGGCCAGAAAATGTGAAAGTACATCCATCTATATACAGTATACACCACAGTTATATGTCCCTGTCTAATCCCAAGATGCCTTTAAAGTTCTGCATGTGGAAAAAAGATACTTTATAAGTGAGTTTGGTGCGTGCTGTGCTGTTCACATTTACACCACTGGGGGGAGATCAATCTCTGCTCGACAGATCAGAGACGGATGGTTAGTGAGGATGAACAACGGTCACGCATGTTGTAATTACTGCATGTTGATGTCTGTCAAAAGCAGTAACCAGAAAAAGAAGGGAAATAAATATTCTCTCTTTTATTTTTGCCGAGGTTTATCCAAAAATAAAGTGGCAACATCTTGAAGCAGGAAAAAAAAAAAGAAGATAATTGCACGTCCAATTCTTGAAAGCTAACTCTAAACTTCATACCTCATCACAATCAAATTTCTGTATAGACCACAGCATGAAGCCCCAAAGTGGAATCAACAATATTCCAATATAATTTCACTGAAGAGTTGTCAGAAGAGAAACAGAGAGAGTGCTTGAAATGCTTTTCTGCGCTGAATACAGCAGGGCTGTAAAAGCAGCATTAATGAACCATCGTGGAACACTGGAGTCTGTTCGCAAGCAGCTTCCATAAACATTATCACCCACTGCAGCATGAGGTCTGCCTTTATTATTATTATTATTATTACTCCTTCCAATTACAAGATAGAAACAGAAGAGACATCCTAACTATTAGGTACATTAGTGGATGAGAGGTAATGCTTTGTACACACCCGCAACTATTCCCCAAAATGTTGTGAGGTGGGGGGGGAGCTGTGATATGAACTGTTAGGACTAATGAATTTCAGTAGAAGTATTTTATTAGACTAGACATTTACTAGACTGGTAAAATATATGAAGATGAAATAAAAACAAAAGACGACATTAAACAGTATGTTTGATATTTGATTAATAGTCTCAAACATGAGTTTGTTGCAGGAGAATTTGCAGTTTTTCTCTGTTATATATCATCGTGGAATGAATATCTTTTGGTTTTGTACTTTTGATTAAATACACATAAGACATTTGAAGACATCATATTGAGACCTGAAAAAGGGAGGTGCATATTTTAAAGACTAAAAGATCTATTCAAAAGATTTAAATAATCGCAGCCCTAGTTACACGTCTACTTAAGTATCACTTTGATTCATTTAAGAACTGACATCATATTACATACGACTGATACATTTAACAGTTTAGGATTCATAACGTACGTTTAGAGAAAATCTTAAAATGTGACGGTTTCAGAGACAAAATGTTTCTGTCACAGAAGATTCTTGGTCAGTCTCTTGTGATTAATGTGGAACAGTGAGTTATTATCTTCCAAGACAATGTTTGTCTAATCCTGCAAGCAGTTATCAATTACCCCATCATTTCCCCTGATCCATGTGCACATGAAGTAGAAAACCGTCTGTTTGAATGACTGCAACCCCTCCTCCCTCCCTACTGCCCTCTCCCCCCCGTCTCTCTAACTCAAAGCCGGGGAACCTTACCTTTGTCTGGACCATGCCAGCTCTCTGGTCTCTCAAGTGCTCCAGGGTAGCGGCAATATCAATCTCTTTAGCACCTGCAACAGACCGAAAATTGGAATGAGTTCAAAGCAGCCGAGTAATCCAGCTCACATCTGTCAATCTCTCTTTATGCCGGGCTCCCTTTGGAACAGCGCAGCGATTGAAAATTATTACATTCATCCCTCGAAAGACTTGGACGAGAGCCACACACTGTTTCTCGATAAAATATGCAGGAGGATATTTTGGGGCTCTGGGAAATGCGCAATGATGCATTCAAAAAAACGTTAAGCGCTGGCTTCTGTGTGAGAATCTTGTTAAAAAATTGTTTTAAATTACGTGCAACTATGAAGTCTGCTCAGAGCTTTTTGATACAACAATATCTAGGTGTGTGCATGTACAGTATGTGTGAATCTGACAAACAACCAACTCTAATTAAAATGATTTATTGCCTTTGCAGCAGCAATACTGATGATTGAACTATGCAACAGTTGCTCGCCTTCTACAGTGATCAGCTGCTGTTGGGTTGAGTCCGTTTTGGCTTTGAAAGTGCGCGATGTTAATCTGGAATCTTATTCTACTTTCAGATTTATGGATTTTAAAGCAAAACGCAAGAGCTCGTTTGAGAAAACCGAAAGGGAAGGAGGGAGAAAACCGCAGAGAGCCGCTGAACTCTCGAGATGTCTTTGAAGGTGAGGCAGAGAAAGGAAGCAGAAGAGATAGAGTGACAGTGAAGATGTATGTGAGAGTGTGGGTGAGTCAGAGAGAGTAAAAAGAGAGAGGGCTATAATGCAGCTGGACTTAGTGCTCAAAGTACTCCAGTGCTCCAACAAGACTTTCATGTCTCAGAAGGGCTGGATTCCAAAGTTAAGCTGAAGAGAGGCTCTTCGACCAAAGGAAAAAACTTTGGAGAGTGAGATTACGTTCATTTTATACATTCAATCCTGGAGGAGCAGGAAACAAAAGGTTAAAAAGGGACCGGGTGGCACCTTTGATCACCCCGGACAACAGCGCATTCGTCGCTGAACCAGATGAACTCCATCAGGACGTTTCAGTCTTATTACTGTTTTCCAGAAAGTGAAGGGAATGTCTGCATCAGACGCAGCCGTCCTCCCAACCTGCTCTGATGGGCTGGGATAGCAGGGGGAGGGCATGCACAGGGTGGGGGTTAAGGGCAGATGTCAAAGGGCAAAGGGCAGGCTAAGCTACGGAGGGGCTTTAAGGGGATGTAAGGCAGCCTTTGGAAGAACCCAGCTCCTGTGCAACAATAGATGTCCATGTCCAAATGTGTTTATTCAAACAAACTGAGCTTATTCTTACTCCGCTACAACTCCTGTTTTGTTGGAGTAGAGATTCAGCGAAAAACAGGGATTTGCAACGAGCACAGGAACCTAAAATCTAGAAACAAATCAAGCCATTCCTGTTTGACATGTAATGATGCAGCAACGCCACAAAGATCCCTTTCAGGTGGCTTTTTCATATTTATTTAGGCCTGTGGATAATGATTTCTGCTGTAGAGGCTCATAATGGTGCCAAGTTACTGTGATTTGTGACCAATTCCAGACTATCCTCCCTGACTGTGTTTTTTGATTATACAACGTTAACTAGGGGCCATTTTCAGCTCAGAATTGCAGATAATAAAAAAGCACCTAGAGGTTTTTTTTGTTAACATCCTGGAGATTTCAGGCAGTTTAGTTTATATTTTTGTAAAATAGAAAAAGACAGTAAAGGGTGCAAACTATATGGGTTACAAATAATAATAAAACACATCCATTGTTCCCATTAAATATTAAGTACTGATTCAAACCAATGGAGCAATGTTTACAAATTCTGATTTCCCCTTTAAACATTTCATTTCCATGCATGCGCTGTATAAATTCATGTTGCAGTTGCGATGCAGGTGAATATGCCGTGACGGTAGCTTTAATAGATAATTACTAATGTGGGCAAAGGTTTTTCTTTTTCCCTTTTCTCTTTGTTCAACTCTCTCCACTCCCTCCAGCTCCCTCCATGTCTGTCTCTGTCTTCGCTGCCTCTTCAGGCCTCGGGAAAGTCACCCTCTAATGCATCCCCAAGACCCTCTGTGGAAAATGAGAGGCTTCGGCGTTGCCAGGGAAACTCTTCAACGCGAGAGCAGAAAGAGTGAAAGGGAAGCCATTGATCGTTACCTTTAGCCATCCTATTGAGGACCATGTCAATCAGAATGTAAGTCCCACTCCTGCCAGCTCCATCACTGCAGAGAGTCAGAGAGAGAGAGAGAGAGAGATGGAGATCATTAAGGTGGCAGAGTGAAGCTTTAATCTCAGTGTTTTTCTTATAAGGAAACAAATTGCTCATTTACATCTGCATCTGCTGAGAGACACAAATGAGTCTATGCACACAGATACACACTGCTTAAAACCTGATGTTGCGGATAAAATATTCGAATAGCACAAATCAATAATACTCCTTAATATTCTTGTGAAAATACCTGAACAGATCTGAATATTTGATGATCCAATAAATGTGATTATGTTAAACCTTTGCACACGAGTGCATGTGTGGTCTTGAGACTTGCTGGGCTATTGGGGAGAGGGGAATGGTTTCTGAGGCACACTGGGGACAAAGGCTTTTAAATGAATGCACCTCAGGAGCAGGGGAGAGGTTGAGAGGCCAGGGGCGGTTCGAGAACAGCTCTTGGAGAGCCTTGCTTTTCCATTACTCCAGAGATAGTCTTATGAAAAGCCTCCCTTTGTGCCCGCCGGCCATTCAACAGCTCTGCATGTTAATTGCAAACAAGGCGTGCACATCTCTCTAATAAAGGCAAGGCCAATAAAACAGGAGAGCGGCCTGAGCACCACTGCTTCATTAATCCACTGCTAGACACTCAGTCCTCACAGCTCCCTCAGAGGGAGAGCGGGCTGCCCCCCCCCCCCATATGCATGACTTAACAGGATGTGACTATTAAAAGTGGTCAGACAGATACCTGGTGTTTAACACAAACCAATCAAGGCCAGTTAACTAACTCAACCAAATGGGAAATGGAAGTTTCTCTGGCTGGGTGTCTTTGCGCCACCCTATTTCCATAAAGACATAAACAGCAGCTCCAGTGGACCCAGATAGAGCAAATGGACTGAGCGGGTTTAAAATAAACAGTCTCTCCCCTCCAACACACAATCGCCATTCCCAATTCAGCAGGGTCAGCCACTGTCACAAGGTTCAAATAGTTATACTTGCCTGCAGTGAACAATTATCGGGCAAGACCGACCCCGGTAGCACTTGTTAACCTTTCTGGAATAAAAAAAAGAAGAGAAAAGTGGATGTTATTGCAATGTTGGCGGCAAGTTGTCTTCAATGAAACACACTCTGAAAAACAAGGTTAGTTATTTATGCTGAATAATAAAGCAAGTGTGACTCATGACTGTGCTTCTATGGTCGGGATGCAATTAATGACAGCGACAATCAAAAGAGCAAACAGGATCGTGAGAGATGCACGCTCCTGTCAATCAATCACCTTAATTTGAGGATAGAGAAATAAATCAGTGTCGATGAATTGAACAGCATTATTGTGACACGTGGGTGATGGATGCGCCGGTGTGATGTTGTGATTGCCGACCGCCGACGCATTAACCCCCGGCCAATTATGAATGTTGCACACCGCCGGAGGCCAACGAGCCTTTTCACACACACCGCTGTTGCCATGGAAACTGACTACACCGAGAGATACCGCGTCTTAGCATTTCCCTCGTTTGTCACCGGCGACAAAAATGACAAAATAAAGGTTTGAATGTCTCACAGTATCTCTGGTATATCTGATGGTTCAAAATCACCACTGCATATTGTTGTCATTAGGAACATGTAAATAAAACAGTAGAAATAACATTAAGCAAACACATAAATGTACTTTAATATAAATTAATGAAACAACCTATACTGTAGTACTTCCAATACTACTCATAGTAGAAGCTCATAATCATATTTTACTTGCTAAATATTTATTTATATATGATTTAACCTCAGTTTATGTATTGTGTATTAGTTTTCTATATTTGGACCTTAAGAAATACAACTGCGGACTGCATTTCCCATGTGTACTTGCATTTCAAAGCACATGTGTGCTCTTTTTGATGTCATGTCATGTCATGATGTCATTTAAGATTTGTTTTTGCCATGATTGAAATCCAAAGTAACCGAAAGTTTGGCTTTTTCATTGAAATACATGCATTCAACATAGCTAAATATTCAAATGTTATAAAACTAGTTCTATTTTAAGTAACCAACTGTTTTGCAGGAGTAATGCTTTCTTTTTTGTGCATTTCGCATTCATTTTTGTTAGTACATCAAATGCATATCTTTTACATTGTAAATCAGAATATGTCCTTTGTTAAAGAGCATACAGAGATGGTTGGAGTTCCCATGCAAGCCAGAGGAAGGAGCAGTGAGAGGAGGAGACGGGAGACGGAGAGTCAGGAGTGAGAGAAAGACAGTTTGTGCACAGGCCTGGCTGAGGAGACACAGTTTCCAATGATCACTTTTGTGACTATGCAACTGGGCTCATATTACTAGCTGCAACATCACAAAAATGACACTGGCAACCGCAAAATACCAAGTTGGCCGAAACCGTGAAAACCGTTCGATCTGAGACCTCTGAATCACAGAGAGCTTTATTTCCCCAATAACCGACAGCAGCATTAATGGAGTTACATCAAGGCAATCTAGTAGTGAAGGAGACCTCAACAGCAAAAGAAAAGGAATGTATGTAATCAAACACAGCTCAAATCTGCACACCAATATCTTAAAATAAATAGAACTGACTGCAAGCCACACCTAATTTAATTTGAAAAAAAAACCCAGCAGCGACTGTCAGGAAAGGATGACATGATAACACTGCACATCCTCCTTTTTTTTCCCGATCTCATCTGCATTTCAAACCAGAGGGACAGACTTCCTTCCACAAATCAGATGCATCTTTTCTCATTTGGAGGGCTTTTCCTATCCCTCTGGGTTCTCCCAGAGGACCTATTGCTGCTCTTCTGCCAGAACACATTATATGGAGAACAGAGTGAGGTTATTCAGTCACTAGCTTTCCCCCTCTCCCATGTTTTTAGTGAGACAGCTCTCATTTAATTGGGTTTGAATTAGGTTTTTTTTCTTTCTTTTCTTCCCAAGCCAAGCCAGGCAGTGTTGGGCTGTTAATTTGCTGCATCACATGTGCTGGAGGGGAGGTGAGGGGAAATAGGCCCAGGATGAAAGGGATAGTACAGAAACACAGTGCTTATTAGAACAACCATTCTCTAGGACACCGGAAGGCAGAGGGGCAAAAGGGAGACGGACCAAAGAGGCGCTGACAGAATACAGAATACAAGGCAAGATGATTAAGAACAAGCTCAGGAGAAAGGCCAGTTGTAAAGGTGAAGATCTGCCTGAGCTCCAACCAGCAGGTTCTGCACTCTACCTGCGGAAGTCTAAAAGGGTCCTGGCCGAGTTGGGGATCCCGCGGTCCATCCAGGACAGGAAGTGGAACTGCGTTACGGTGCGGGTCTCGTTGGTCTGCAGGTTCTTCAGGTAGAAGCTCCGCACCAGGAAGTCTTCACACCAGATGTGCTCCGACACCAAGTTGACCTAGATTTAGAAATAGGCCGCATTCAGTTAATTAATTATAGCTTCACACCAGCAATTTTAACGAGGAGCGCACTCATAGCCCAAAGACTTTTAAGGGGGTTTTAAATGATAAAAAAATCACATTTTCTGATTTACTCCTTGTGGTATTTAGCCCTCACTAACCATACATTTTAGTTTCAAACAAGAAGAGGACAAAGGTGGACATTTTCTCTTACATAATCTTTAGATAGCATGCAAGCTGTCATTAAAACAAGTTCATTTGTTAGAAAGGGTTTAAGAAATGGCACACAGTAATCAAATACTGTGTGACCTGAGGATTGACTTTACAGCGTCTAAGCTCTGTAACTTCTGCTTAATCTCTCACAGACATACCTCGTAGATGTGGTACACGTCAGATCCTTCGTCGGGCCAGTAGGGATGACACTGCTTCACTCCATTTTCAGAAAGCGGGGTCAACATGACGACGACGACGCAGCCGCTCTCCCACACCATCTACATACCAGAAGAAACCTACGTGAGACATCCCCTCAGACACAACAGGCCTTTCATACTCATCTGTATGACATTACAGCAGCACTAATATGCAGCTGAACTGTGCCACTAGGAGCGGCATATTGCATGTTAGCATTACATAGCACCCTTGTATTAGAGTGAAATTGATTTCTTAATCTTGGTCCAGGAAGCATGAATAAATGTCACCTCTCTGCGTGTGACAAATGATAAATGTTGGGTCGAGCAGCAGGAGGGCGCGTCATGTGTCGCCCTCTCTCAGTCGTGAGCGTGAGATCACAACATCTACTGAGCTGCTGCTCTGTTTCATCTTATCACGATCTAATGTGTCCTTGGGAAAGAATACAGGCCCACAGCAGCCATTAGGAAAATGAGGAGGAAACACGGCTTTTATGATTGCTATAAAAACACAATGGCCTTGACAATACACTAATCACAAGCTTCTGTGATCCAGCCCGGTGGACACATTACACGCCAACTGTGCCAGGATGTGATGAGATTAGGCAAGGTGATAATGTGGGGGAAAATTAACCACTTAGTCGAGTAAGATTTGGCAAATATTTGTAGGTAGTGAGGAAAAAGTGTATTTTGTTCAGCTGGTAATGTCATATTTGTTTCTTTTTTTAGATGCTGAACAATTGCAAGGCTCCAAAAACATACATCTACTATACATCATATGTTTAGAAGAAGGCAGGCTACAAATACAATCCGATCGGCTTTGTTTTTTTTGCAATGAATTCAGAGGAGAAGTGAGCAGGAGAGCAGGGCCCAGCAGAGCTAAGGTAATAGGAGGGAGGGAGGGGAGGTGGGCTGGAGGAGTGAAGGCTGAAGGGATGGAGGAATGAGGAGTGGAGGATTAGAGCAGAGCCGCCTTTCAGAGCGCTGCCTGGGGCCGGTGTGGATTAGACAGGACAGAGCAAAAAGATTTGCCTCCTGCATGGGCCATTTGCATGAGAGTGCCAGTGTTTCCCCTGTTTGTTTACTTTTAATGAGGGGGGGGGGGGGGAAGAGTGTTTTTTTCCTCCTGCCACAACCCAAGTTTTACAGTATTGAATAAGGAATGGCTACTTATTCACGCACACAGGATGTTCATTGTGTCAGTCAATCCGTTTCTAATTTTCCATAATTTCCTGCTTAATTGGGAAAGATTTTGAGTTGAGTTCATGGCTAAATATCCCATTTCATTAGATAATGCAATGCATTTATTCACCTGGCACAGGAAGAAAAAAAATTGGCAGACAAACAAATAACCAACTTGACAAAGAGATAATCATCAACTGTTTCATTTGAAGCACTTTCAAATTTACACATTAAATACAGGGCTCTTATTCGAGCCGATGTAGTCAATTAAGTTACACTTTTTAGATAATAGGCGCTGAATCTTTCTTTTCTTTAATTAATGTGAACGTCGTGTGAGGACAGAATTTGTGTGCAGGTTTGTTTGTTTTGGGTTTGAAAAGCGATTTACAACAAAAACCAAAGCAGAACCAAGACTAAAATTGGTGTTACCACCTGCCCCTGGTCACAAACCGGTGCCAACGTCTGTCCTAACCTAAAGTCAGCACTATCATAATGATCTGAAATGACGACATGCAGAGTGCAGAGTGCAGGGCCAGCTGTTTCTGCCAGGATTTATGCTTCACACTTCTACATCCTGGTGACGGCTAGCAGAGTTACTTCACCATATGGAGGTGATGGGCCCACTAATTACGACAGTGCTGTCCTATTAACACATAAGAACGCCATTTGGCAACCATGCATCATTTAAGGCGTTCCTCCACACAAGACGACATGTTTTACAATAGCCTATATCCGGTGATTAATGGCAGGTTCGTCTGATATTTATGGACAAGGCAAGGAATACAAATAGCAGCGAGGAAAAGGCAAATATGAGCAAACATCAGCATTATCACAAATAATATTACACTTCCTGGGGGTGCGTATAACTAGACTACCATTTACAACCGAAAAGCTGCAGGTTTCTAATACGTATTCCGCTCGTGGCACTGTTTTATTTATGAGTAAGAATAGTAGAAGCACCATTACGTCCAGCCCCAGTTTGTGTCGATCATGTATTACCATTACATTTGAGTGACATAGCCAAGCATACAATTTTCCTAGAAAATATACAATTATTCCCTTCCATAATGCTTTGGGGGCTGTAAATAGGAGCTATGATTTTGCCATGGATTCAGTGAGTTATGTTTCAGCAACAACTCTAGCCCTGTTTTTTTCTTTTCTCCCAGTATTTGTTTACATTTTGGCAAATTGGCACCATTAAAAGTATGCCGAATTAGCTAATAGCAGTTCCTGTTTGTAATGTAGCCATAAGATGTACGGACAACTATCACCGGATTATTTTGATACTGAAGAAAACTTAAAAACGTGACCATTCTCTGACAAGATCTAGAGTTACGAGGTGCGTCTTTTTACCATTTCGAAAAAGACGTATAGAAGTTTATTTGGCGTAGACAGTAGAGCTAACGATATCCTCGGACAGTGTGAGTCACACTGAATCTGAAAATATGTGTATCGTGTCTGTGTGCTCAGACTTTACTGAGTTATGACTCAGAGAAGAAGGACTGCCATTTTTGATGCACATTGGAGGATTTTGCTTGTGAAATATTTGCCATTTCTGGTTACATGGATTATAAAAAAAGGAAGTGACTTGACAGAAGGAATATTCTTTTCATTCAGATGATTAGAAGAGTCCCGAGGGTTCTAGAAATACCTTCAAAACAGCAGTACGTGTTGTTAAACGACCTTCTGTTCTTTCTGCTTAGCTGAGACTTGAATATAACGGAAGCACATGACAGGCAGAAACTGAGGCTACATTCTGAAGAAATCCCACCAATGCTTTAAAAGCAAAGAAATAGTAATCTAGACACTCTCGGAACAAGAAAAAGACATCAGAGTCACAAGGGAATTGGTAAATCACACAAAACCATCTCTGTTGTGGTTCTAACAAACCCTGATATTTCTACATAAAGATAACGGTAAAAGATGGAAAAACCCCCATGAATGGAGATGATTACCTGCCAGAAGTCTGCCACGGTGGAAAGAAGTGGGCCCTGCGAGGAGATGTAAGTAGGGTTGCGAGGGTCATGGTCCATCTGGGAGAGAGGGAGCAGAGTGTGAGACAGTGTTTGGGGTGGGGACTGGCGGATGAAAACATGCAGTCTGGGTGAAAAGACTTCCATCAAAGCCTCCATCTGGATGGAGGCATGAGAGCAGAAAACATTTGCTACTGCAGACTTATTTCTCTTCCATTCATTGATTCACTCTCTCTGAACTACGTCATTCTTGTTTCTTTCCTCATGTTCTCAAGATCTGACTATTTACAATGGGTCTGATTAAACTGGAATATAAAGAGAACTACACACATAGTCCTACGCTGGATACGCTTTAAACATATGGAAGGTTGTGGTTTCACAACTTTGATCTTGTTTTTGTGATTTTTTTCGTCTCTCTAAACGTCATGTTTGCATAAAGACTGAAGACCTTGGCCTTTTTAATCTAATTCATGTTTTCAACCCTTCCAACCCTTTGAATATTTAAAATAAACACTTTCATTTTCATCACCTTCAATAGCTTTATTATCTCATCATTCAGGTGATGCTTTTACTTCCGCTTTAGTTAAGTCATGTACCGCCTTCTCTACAAGGTCCTCATACCAACGACCTCATGAAATGGCTTTCAGATCTCAATTCCTGTCGTGCTTTGACGTGCTTCCGCATGAAACATGATATAGTGGTGGGACTTTAAAGCCTGCAGGCTGTTGATGTGAGGGGGGCCGGGTGTTCAGGTGGGATATAATGACATGGGGGACTTGATTTGAGGGATGTGATTGAGACTTGATTGAGTAGGTGTTGAGCTGGGTTGCCCCCCTAAAATCAATGATGTTTTTATGCACACCCTCGAGTGCAGGATGCATCAGTGGAAAGGTGTTGACATATTTCGCAGGAAAAGAAATGAGTCGGTGCATATCAATGCATTGTTGATGTATAGCTGGCATTATAATGATAGAAGACACACCCTAACAGTGCTGCATTTTTGTAAGTATAGGGATGCATTTAATATTATTTATGGTAGACTTACCAACAACAGTCTTGTGTGAGTAAAATGCAGTGAGAAAGACACTTTTTCTGAACAATTTATGAAGGACAATGAACATGAGCTTAGAAGTTAAACATGTAGCTTTTCATTTAATTTATTTGGGTTTCTCTTTGACTCATCTGTCAAGGTCATAGACCTCGACATTCACCCTTAAAAGGGAAATAATGATGGAACATTTCCTCATGGCTTTAATATTAGCACAGTGACTTTCTCTCCTCTTGTTTATAATAACAACAGAATTAATTCCCAAATGCTCTAAATTGGCTGATGAAACCGAACATACAACTTTGGTCCAATTCTTTTTTTTTAAATCAAATGCATTTCTTGTCTGTTCGTGTCTTAATGTCTGCTTGTAATTTCGTTTCATTATGGTGGATTAAAATGTCAAATTGTTTTCTGTTTTAGATTTACTTCCAAGCTGTGACTTGATTACAAGTAGAGCTCAGTAGAAACAGACTATTGTTGTTGTTCTGAAAGAGTTCATTTTAATTAGTGGTTGAATATCATCCTTAGAACTGTAAATTGTGTCATTTTGGAACATTTAGCAGTGAAACGCTGAAATGATGCAGATTCCCCCGGGTACAGATTTGATCATCTATGTTTCTTCATTATCTATAGATATACAGTGAATCAAGTGTTTATGAGACACGATGAGTGACAATTTGACGGCCTTTCTATTAAAGAAATTTCACAAAAGGACACATAAATGCAGTAAACATTATGTTCATTACCCACTGTTCTACTTCAATCAGGTATAAACGTGACGTTCAATTTTCCCTTCATGCTTTCTAGTTTAAAATTTTGTCGTGAATTTGTAAAAAAAAAAAAAACACTGAAATGAAAGGGTGGTGCCGAATAGTGCTACCACTCCGTCAGCCAATCTCAAGGATACAGACAGGCTGTAGCTGTGTGTTGACATCGCTGCATGAATACTAAAGCGCAAACATGAAAGAGTTGTCCTGGGTTTCAGCTGTCCTCCCAATGCCATTGTGGGAAGAAGATAGACTACAACAGAAAGGCAAAGAAGTGCTCTTTGGTTTGAAGTAAAATAGCCCGCACTTAAATAGCTCGCACAAATATCTGTTCCGTCTCTACTTTCGACGCCTTGCTGCAGCGCCTTGATCCTGTGTTTATGTAAGATAGAGAGCTGGATTTAAGGTCATCCAAGAAAGCATGGAGAACAGGTGGGAAATGGAAAAGCCACAGCGTTTGACTTTCTAAAAAAAGCCAGACAAGGCAAAGCCAACCAGGCTTTTACCACAGTTTGTGCTGCTGCACATTCCTTCGATTCATTCCTCCAGCTAATGATGCTTTACATCTGGCAGCGCTCGCATCATTTGTGGTCAAGCATTAACCGTTATCCAAGCTTTCTCCTGTGTGTGTGTGTGTGTGTGTGTGTGTGTGTGTGTGTGTCACCCTCTGCTTTACATGGAGCTTGGATCGCTCCTTCCATTTGCATCTCTGACCCCTGATTCCCAGAAAGAAGCGACAGATTATTTACTCATAGGCCACAGCCCCCTACAGCTAATGAGGAGGAAGAAGCCGCATTGACAGACATAATTATCACAGTTTTGCTGGGCTCAGCCAGGGGTCCCCATTGTGGTGTAATTACTGTCCTTTCATCCACACACCACTGCATCCGCCATTACTCCACCCATCTTCAACGTCCGTTTGTCTTTCTAGATGCTTTTTTTTGTTCAACAGCACCAAAAACTGTCCAGGATAACTTTGCTTTATAGCCTTTTTTCATAATCTACCAATTTTGCCAACTTCTTCCCCTGATTGATGAACTTTATTCTAATATTATTCTATACATTGGCAAATGTCGCACTGTTTAAATAAGCTAAAAACCTCCATGAATATGCCATTAGAGAGAACGTTGGAATAAATGTTTGTTCTTGAGGAGTAATAGGCTTTTAGTGCAGCTGTGTGTGCCCCCCCCCCTCCCCCTCCCCCTCCTTTGGCACTGTATTTGAAATGCATAGTTTCCTGTTCCCTTTGATGGAATCCTTTTTCAGCAGCCTCAGGGGAAATCATGACTGGCAATCTTTTTTTGGTGGGGAAAAAAATCCCCAACACTCAGGTCGTTCTGGATTTGTACATTTATTTCGTCAAAAATAATGTATAATTCTTTATAGTGGGGATGGAAAAAAAAGGGGCTTCTCCAGGGAGCGGCCATTTTGAAAGCTGTGGAAGCGGTGTGATTCAACAAGACACACGAATCCACTGAGGCTCCATGTATGGAGAACAAAGTTTAAAAAAAGATCAATGCACTTGGATCGATGACAAGTCCTTTGAAACTTCTTTTATCTCGGAGTAAAATCCAACCATAACAGGTGCTTCTGGTACAGACATCACCCACAACATAGAGCTATAATGAATACACAATACTCACTATTGGACTGGCATTGATGTAATCTGAGTTGCTGTGGTTATTCTCCGCTTTCAAGGTGATTCTGGAATGATCATCTGTAACGGAGACGTACAATTCAACAACGTACTTTGTGCTGCCTCCCCTCCCCACACAATAACAGCACCATTTTGAGCAGTAACAGAGGAACATGTAAGTAAAAAGGCTGCAGATCCTGCAATTTCACCAGGCTTTCATCATACACACACACGCACACACTGTTCTGAAGGCTTGATTTGCTTCACCTTCAATAAGGAATGTTCTGAATGAAATAATAATAACATATCTTATTAAGAAGTCTGTAAGCTGTGAGCCTTAAAATCCTCTTTTTTTTAAACAAGTGAAACTGTTTAAAGATTCAGATAATCTGTTTCCAGTCAATTTACATCCACCTCTGTAGTCTCACTGCAGCTTTTGCAGTTGAATTCACAATAATAATTTTCAGTTAGTTTTGAAACGATCGGTCTACAGTTCATACAGAAGTAAACAAAAACATTTCCGTATTCCCTCCTAAAATCGCCTGATTAGTTGAAAAAAATCTGAATGGACTCACATACGACCACGGTGTCCGAGCGGTTCTTCTTGGAGTTCTGCTCGCCCTGCCCCACGCTGCAGGCGCTGGGCTCTGCCTGGTAGGAGCACAGGGCCTCCCACTCTCGCTCCAGACGGTTCTTGTTCTTCAAGTGGTCCTCCATGTATGACTAGAGGAAAACAGAAACCACCTTAGCCAACATTGCAAGTAATAAGCCAATAAGCCAGAACCCTGCAAAAGACACAATTCATCTTCACCATTTTTTCACTTAATTTTCTTCACCATGAGCTATCCAATATATAAAACACTAAACACTCTGACAACAGCATCTCTCCATTAAAGCTATGATCAGGTGTCATGGAGCACCTGGGTGAGGACGAGGCTGCTGAAGATCTAGGTGGGGAAGGTGTGCTAATGTTTATATCTTTGTGCATGTGTGTTTGACCGAGAGGAGGAAAAAAATCACGCACAATTAAGACTCCTGAAAGGTTTGTCTGCATTGGAAATACTTCAGGGGTGTTTCAATCACGTCTCTTACTGCTTGCACAGACACTGATAAGATTGTCTGCATTTAAGCCTTTGCTTGGAGAAGACAAAATTGAATTCGCGAGAGAGACAAAGATGGAAAAAAAGAGGGGGGGAAGGGTAGAAGTCTATGTGTGTGTGTGTGTGTATTCTCCCAAACCAGGGCAAGTAGGGAGCTTAGAGGCTGTAGCTGGCAAGACGATCTTTTGTAGCGCAGCGCCGTGTTTCGCTTTCTCTCCTGTATCATGGCTCCCCTCCCAATGGGGTTAAATGCTTTAGTCCGCTATTGTGTGAGGCAGAAGATTACAGACTCATAAACTGATGTCAGGGATCAGCTGGCTAATACAATGAAAGTGATACCCAGATGTGCTGGGGTTTGTATCCCATATTAAAGGCAGTATAGGTAGGCTGAGCAGAGAGGTTGTCCATTGTTGCATCCAACTTATTCACTCCTGTCTGTCAAAAAGGGTAATCCAGCTCTTTGCAGAATATATACAATTCCTACATTAGATGATAATCACAAATAAGCTTGTCCAACACATAATAGGCAATCACCCTTTGATGGCTCATGCATTCAGACATCTCCCGCATGCACGCAAAGGATATTAGGCGACTTATAAGAACATTACAAATCCTACAGACAATGGAAATCAAAGTTGATTGTTCGATAGGGTACCAAAGGTGCCGCTCAGGTCTTAAAGGCGGCGCTGAGAAGAGTAAAAGCAACTCTTGTGATTAATGCAGCCACATAATGAGAGAACACAACAGCACAAAGTGTGCTGTCTGAGCCCATTAATGACATAAAGTGACATTTCTGAAATATTACTGTTGATTTCTGTTTTTGTACTTTGAACCATGCCTGAACTTTTAATTTTATGCATGCAAAAAAACCCAATTATGAGAAAAGAAAATCTCGTTAATGTCAACTCTAATAGCAGCCAACACACACATATATATTTGCATGTGTGTTGGTGTGCATCGCCTACGCAAACAGACAGTGCTGTCTTCCCAGGAAAATGACAGCATGCCATTATGGCCACTTGACAGAACCTGTCACCACTATGCTCTTGTCACCCTCTACAAGTACTCTCTGCTTGCCAGCCTGACAGCATCCCACCTCCCCTACCAATATTACATCTCCATGTACTTGATAAATCCACTCTGAATTGCCTCCCATTCTATTCAAAGGATGCCCTGAATCGATTGCATTCCAAATTCATATTTTCGCAGCTTAATGCAATGCAGCCAGCAGGCCCTTATCAAGCCCTCCCCGTTCCTAGGGGGAGGCAGTGGACCATGGCGTATTCCAGAGACAGGGTAACGAAGGTTTAGTGAATGGGGGGGATTATGTCTGCCAATCAGAGGGTTGGGATGGGAGGCCTGGGTGTCAGGGAAACAATGTCTAATCCTTCCTAAGCAGTCTCCTCGGCAGCAGAGGGTGCTGGGTGAAATCAGGATGAAGGGACAACCAGGGGAGCCAGACACAACAGGTAAAACATTACTGTCAAATTAAAAGGAACAATACTGGTAACAGTTTGAACAGGGAGCTTTATGATATGATAAACAGCAGCGAGAGGTGGAAAGAGAAGGTGTTAATATGTACGTTTTTTGTGTGCTAACTAATAATAGCTAAATGAAAAGAGCACATTGTTTTGACTTAAATGGAAATTTGTTGTTTTGCTCATAATCTAAATCTAAAATTGTGAGGAAAAGATGTTGCGTGGGTCAGTGGCTGTTTTCCTATGCCTTAGTGTCTGTTTTACTTCCGAGCACATAATTCATCATTTAAAACAATAACTACTCAACTTAATGAGAAAGAGCCTCAAGCGACATAATTATTGATATTTTTTTTCAGTAGAGAGGTGATTAAGTCAAGGGAAAGCTCCAGCATCAACATTTTGACCCTGTTTCTGGACAGTATAGGGAAGCTGGATGGACAGATTGTTAAAGATGCTTGTGAGAAAAAACAGCTTTACAGTGGACTTCTAGCTTCTAAGTGCTGTCCATGGTGCTGAAGAGATTGCAGCAATAACAGCCACATACAGTAAGTAACTCTGTCTTACATCTGGTAGTCATTTCTGAGGTTTTTAATCATTGAGTAGGTAACGTTTTCACGGTAGTAGCGCCACACTGCAGCTGACAAAGTTAGCAGAGAGAAGATAGAAAATGTACGATGGCAGAGGTGCGTCAGGTGACTCAGCACACAGAGGCATCCAATTTCACTTCTGAAGTTGAAAAGTCTTTATGCAAGACTTTTCAAATCTTGAGGTGGGTTCGAACGGTTTGCGCGCAACATCGTAGTTCATAGTGGTTGTGTGTGTGTGTGTGTGTGTGTGTGTGTGTGTGTATGATCTGATTGGGCCTCACAATATGGACCCCCAGCATATGTGCTTTGGAAAGCCGGGTATTCATCATCCTTCTCCACACGGTGTGAGCTCCAAAGAGCGAGAGCGAGAGAGGGGAGATGAGAGGAGAGGAGAGCTGAGATGGGAAAATATAGGTCTGAGATCAGTGATAACAAGGCAATCTCACACATGGTTTCATGTGAGATGGCGGTGGGATTTTAAAGAAGAACCCCTATAGGACATCTCCATGTCAATCATGGCATGAAAGAGAATTAAAGGTTTAACTTTCTACATTGCACTGCCTGCACTGAAGAAACTATGGCTAATAATAACAGCTCCTAGAAATGATTCACAGTGTCTCTTTTGTTATTGCGGGGCTAAATGCTTTTCTATTGTCAATGTTTTCAAAAGGGGCTTCACAAACAAGCCTTGACGAGCGCAACAAAACCCATCTATTACCACCAATACAAGGCATTACTCAGATTCACTCTCATTCATTATAGCCTACCAATATAAAAGCTAGACATGCAGTGTGATGAATGCTCCCTCCATTAATGGAAACACTGCGAGGCATCTATCCATCTCTTTTATCAAGCTTGTCTCAAATGAATGAAGCGAAAGTTGTGCAAAATTAAAACAATCCATTGTGTGTTTGTGGAAGCGTTGGCAACATTTTCCAACCAAAAACAAACGAATTTCTAAAACATCCAAATGATAATCTGATTGATAACGATATTTCAGTTTTGTGCAGCTCTCATCACGCAAAACAACGTCTGCCTTATTTTGCTGAGAGTAAGAGAGCCGGAGGGGGTAAAAGATGCAAATGACGAGAGACGTGGGGCGAAATGATAAAGAGAGAAAATGACACAGTTAAGGGAGGAAAAAGTTAGGGGAGAAAAAATGAAGACAACAGAGCCGAGATAAAGCAAGAGGGAGAAAACAGCGGGAAGAGTGATGGGAGAAAAAACCTGAAAGATAACAAGGTTTTGAAGGGAATGAGGTGAGAGGAATAAAAAAAGAGACACATCCAAATAGATAAGCAGAGATATCAAGCTGTCTTCAGCACAGGCCTCAGCATATTCACAGACACTGGGAGTTTTAAAAGCAGACTCGAATGTATACTCACATTAAACCTCTGAAAAGCCTATTTCTGTGACGTATCCCCGAAGACCCTTTCAGATGATCTCAAGTATAACATAGACACAACCAATTTAATTTAATACAGTTGTTGTTATTGTTGATTATATAAAATTGTGTATCGTTACAATATGTTTGCATAAAATTGCGTTTAGGTCGATTCGGTCAGTGACATTATTTAATTTGTACTGCACTGCTTGGAGTACCAGAAGATGTTTGAACCAAGTATTTCAACTTTTTTATCTATTTTGTATTTTCAAATTTATTTATCAAATCCACAATCCATGTAACCCATGGCAGGAGTACCTTTTGGTTGCAGGTACCCCTGGTTGATGATCTTGTACACAAGCCCGAACCAAATGTATTCTTACCAAAAGCATTGGCATCTCAAACTACACTAAACTAAGTGCATAGTCAGTGACTTACGATGTTGTGGTTGTTTAGCTGTAACGATCAGATGCTAAGAACCACAAAGCATCTCTGAGGGCCTGACAATAAAAAAACCACACTTCAACCTACTTCCTTCCTCCCACCACAAAAATCATTACTCACATTGTCTCTTGAGTAAAAGCAAGTTACTTACCAGTATCATGTGACCAGTGGAGATGTCCATGTTGGACGGCACCGGCTCTTCGCACCAGGAGGAGGTGCTGCTGCGGGTCGACGGGCTGGCTGCAGGGCCATCGCTGAACTGGGACGAGACACTGTTGAGCCTCGAGTGGCGCAGGGTCTCCGGCCGCTCGACGCGATCCGATGTGCGGATTGCCATACGCTGGCGACACAGCTCCTGGTAGTTAGAGGAGGTAATGGTGAAACACTGATCTTCAAAAATGTTTTTTTTCTTTTTCTTGCAAGGTATTTATCTTCTTTTCATGAACATAACAATAGTTGTATGTAGGTTATGTGCTTATCCTCGCTCTTAGGGGCTGAGTTCTGTAAATGCACATTGTAAAATCCTACACCTCGGCTGACTTGATCTGTCCTCACTTGCCGAGATTAATGGATTATCCTCGTGGATTATGGAGCTTATACTAATTATGTCAAAAAATACATGGTTGAGGAACCCTACACGATTTACAGAATAAATTCAGTATGTCCCACCTGGCTGCCACACAGCGTCTGTCGTCGTTGTTAAAGAATCGATCTTTTGGTTAAAAAGAAATCCTGCACAAAATCACCATACTGCACAGTCAGGTTCTATAGACCAAAAACTACTTCCTTAAAGAGAAGAACTGTGATTTTTGTTTTGCAAAGAAAGGATAATCTATCCATCAATCAAACAGGAGTTCCACTGTAACCACAGAGAACCAAATGAGATTAAAAAAAATGCATTGGCACAATTGCAAAGTCAAATTTTCTATTGTGATTGATATCTCCAGGTTTCTGAGACTTGCTAAAATGCCCACTGCTACAAAGATTACACTTCTCCCAGTGACTCAGCTTTTCTCCCATCATGCCTCAGTGCAGAGACAGGGCATCGAAAATCCAAAGACTAAGCATTATATACTCCAGTATAAACAAAATGAAAAAGAAAAAGAAAAAATTATATATTGGCAGATTTCTGCAATCTTATAAATGTGTTCACGAACAAAACACAGTGAGAGTGGCGCACTTTGCCTGATTCCCTCCATAAGGTGTGGTCACACTTGGTTTTTCTATGTTAAATTCATAATCTGTAAACCCCATCCTGTTTGGTTTTCGGAGGCAAAGCCAGTCATCTCCACAGACTTAATTAGCATACTCAGTTAATAACAGCGAGGGCAGGGCAGAGCAGAGAAAATGCCTCGTGAAAGCACAAGCTATCTCATGATCTATCATAGTGATATTTCCCTCTGGAGCACAGGCCCCTCTAAGCCCTGGTCTTGGATCAGCTTTCCCGCCGTCAGACTTTAATGATTGGAACCATGAAGCGGTGCCCTGGGCCTTGGCCTCGGGGCAATATCCAGGTCCACCTCATAATTCATCCCACTTCTCAACATCTCTGCAAAGCGCCGTGCTGTACCGGAGTCGAGAAATCGTCCCAGGAGCAAGCAGAGAGATGCAGTTAGTGCCAGAGAGGGCCAGAGGACAGACACATGGAGCCCAGAGAGGAGCACCAGCAGTGGGAATACAGCTTCCCCTGTTTCCCCCCTCTTTCAGACTACTAATAAGAACAAAAACAGGCCAAGAGGAAACAAGGTCTCCAGTATGTGCTGTCATCTAACAATATCTCTCTCCCACAGCATACTAACACACAACTATCTGTCAAACATTGAGAACACACCCACATGACAGAGCAGTTATTCCATCTCTAAAGGTATATTGAGGTGCCATAAAGAAAACTAAAATTTGCACAGACGCTAAATTTGATTAAAAAAAAAGATAATAAACAAAAATTGACATATACTTAATGTTTGAAAAATGCATTTATATATATAATTTTTTTTTTTGCTTATCTGTGGCCATCTTTATAACACTATTACATCTCCCGCTTTGGATGGAGAGAGCAGACCTGTGAAAACCTGATTAAATATTGAAAATGTTAACGCGACATGCAGATAAACATGTTCTGAGTGCCATGGTGGGCACAGCTGAGCCCCAACGCTGAAAATCAATACAGCCCAGGCTGTCCACGGCCCTGGAGGAACAGAGGGAATAGGTCACAGTGGCTGCTCTGTCTCTCTCTCAATCTCACTCTCTCAATCTCACTCTCTCAATCTCACTCTCTCTTACACACACACACACACACACACACACACACACACACACACACACACA